GCCTGCGCTCTGGAGGCCCAGGACCMCCCCCCCCCCAGGGTCAGCAGAGCCAGGCTCAGAGCCAGGACGGGATGCCTAGGGGTCCCTCAATCTCCCCTCTGTACCAGCCCTGAGCTGCCCAGCAGCACCCACAGAGGAGGGATCGGCTTCCAGCAGGTTCTGGGTTCACAGGCCTCTCTGTGGCTACCAAGAAACTACTTTAGAAATGGGAAGGAAGGAGTGCAGGTGAGAGAGCAGGTTTGGCTTGAGGGCCTGGGGCAGGAGTGACAAGCCAGGGCCTCGGGGGTCTCTGTGGCCAGGTGGAGGGAGGCCTGAGCACACGCTTTGTCCGCTTCCTTCGGGTTCTGGAGTGGCCTGTGGCCAGGGCCCGCTCTGGACTCCCCTGTCGGTGTTCTTCCCCAACAGTCTCTGGAGGGAGGGCAGGCTGCTGAGACCCTGATGTCGTGCACCCTGCCCCTCGGCCGAGCGCAGCTGTGAGCCAGAGATGCCGTGGGTGTGCATCTACTCCTCACTGACTTCCTGGAGAACAGAGGGTATTTATTTTAAGTCAAAAAAGATATTTTGACCAACCCCACTTAGCTAAATCCTGGCACTGACACTCGAGAGAGAAGCGAAATGCCGGAGGTCAGACTTTGCTTTTTTGGCTAAAATGCTTAATCAAAACACACCTAATACTTCTGCCGGGGTGCAGAGAAGTGGAGAGCCCAGAGCCACTGCCAGCAATCGACAAGCCAGCGGTGCRTGTGCTGAAGCTAAGCTAGCAAAATAAAGAGGGTTTTCAGCGAGGCAGCAGCCGGCCGGGGCGGACGCCAAGGCTGAGAGGCTCCGGGAGAGCGTCCGGCGGTTTTTCCACCGAGGTCAGCAGCGGGTGAGGAGGCCGAGTTAATGGCATTCATACCTGCCAAGGCGGGCCATTAAATCGGGGCAGGCAGTTCCGGAACACGGCTCCAGCCCACCGTTCCAGGCTGGGCTTCTTTCTGGAAAGCCACCACCGGGCACTGCTTCCTCCAAGGGACATGGCGTGACGGAGGAGGGCCCAGGAACCGGACCACGTGGCTCTTCCCTGCTGCCTGGCGGTCCTGCAGCTGTGGGTCAGTAGAGCCCCGCGGCCCAGCAGCCACGGGCAGCAGCCCATCCAAAGGGGCCCGCTCAGGGGTCCACAGAGAGAACCAGGAGCTGCCTGGGAGCCAAGGCCTGTCCCCGGTGCAGGCCTGGCGGTCTCGGGTGGAGGCCTGCGTGGTCTGGTCAGTCTCTTGCTGGGTGCATCCTGAACTCCTAGGCACAGTGTTGTCCAATGTCCCTCTGTGTCCCTATCCGATGACAAGCTGGGTGGGTGGGAGCCTCCCCTAAGTCTATACTGGCCCCTCCAGCAACRGAGGGAAGGGGCCCAGACGGTAGGACAGTGCGTTCACAGGGGTGCTCCGTCCGGTCTGAAGGGTGGTGGATGCAGTCACCCTCAGCTCCAGATCTATGTGACACATTGTCCCTTAATGTAAGTTTGGGGACAGCAAGAGGGCCGTGGAGGCCACGCAGCTCCTGACGTGCCTCTGTGCGTTGGTGTGGGGCAGAGTGACCCTGCTATAGGGTGGCTCTCTGGCTCCTCAGGGGAAGTCCTCCTGTTGGTGTCTTGACCCAGGCTCCCTGGCTGGACTGATGATTGTGGGTGTGGGTGACCGGACAGGCCGAGGGGCCTGTGGGAGCAGGCGGCAGGACCCACCAGGCCTGGGAGCGGATGGGCTGCACTGGGGTCCCTTCTCCCAGGTGAGGCTTCAGCCCCAACTGTCCCCACGTCCTCTCACCTGGCCCGGCTCCATCCACCAGGAGCTAGGAGTCTTCAGAGAGGAACCGGCCCCACCTCTGCCTTCCGCTGCTGCCTGGAGCCATCCTAGCTCATGGGCACCTGCCACCCGATCCGCCCAGTGGCCACACACCACCTTTACCTCATGAAACGCCAGGAGGCTTGTGAGGCCACCCAGGTGTCAAAGGGCCCTGCCAGCCTTAGGACGTGGTCCAGGGGGGCATTGTCCCTCGACGGCCTCTGGCTGAGCTGGACCTGGGAAGGGCAGGAAGGAGGGAAGCCCCCCACAGTGAGAAACGGTTTGACCAGTGGAGGGCAGCGAGTGGGCTGGGCGGACGCGGAGGGCAGCCCGTGCCCAGGGTCACTACTGGCCAACAGGGCGCGAACCTGGGCCCTCTGGCTATGGGCGTGCAGTGCTGGGGCCTCCCTGCCCACCTCGGTCTCCCTGCCCACTCCAGGGGCCGGCTTTCTACAGGTGCAAATGGACAGAGTGGGGCTCTGGCTCGACTGGGGCAGGAGGCCACCTGAAAACGTCCGACCAGGGCCCACCAGGCCAAGGGTGGGCCCAGCGCAGCGCCCAGGGCTCCAGGAGGTGTGTGAACGGCGGGCGGGCCGGCCCTGGGAGTGCAGGCTGGGGTGTGCTGGCCAGCAGAGACGTGAGCAGCGAGTTCCGGCACGTGTGCGGGTGCAGGCAGCTGGGCCCGGGTAGGCTTCGGCCCCCTAACGGTGCCTTCGGAAGCCGAGGCTGCAATACAAGCCTCTCCCTCATCTTGGGGGGCCCCAGGGTCACTGCTGTGTGGGGGCATCCTTTCACCAGAGCTGGGACAGCCCAGCGGTCCCCAGCCAGAGCCAGCCTGAGGAGGCCTCCAGAGCCCCACCGCAGCCAGGCTCCCAGGCCTGGCCACACTCTTCTCCACAAGGCTCTTTTTCTGACCTTGACAATGACCTTGATGCTCATGTGGGCCACCATGGTATGAGCAAGGACCTTGCTGCCCGGAGGAGGCAGCCTGGGGACTGTTCCTAAACRTCACATGGCATTTTTGGACAGGCTCAGTGGGCACCTGGGGATTTTCAAAGCTCCATCCCTGGGAAGGGTCCCCAACAGGGACCTGCCAGGGAGGGCGCACCCAGCCCGGTGGCCGCTCGGGCTGCGTGGGGCCTCCTTTGACAAAGCTTGATGCAGGAGGAGGGTGGGAGATGGGTGAGGCTTGAGGGCCACCCAGGCGGAGGTGGCCATGTCCCTGTGCAGCAGTGTCTGRCTGAGGCAGGACAGGACATGGGGCTGAGTCAGCTCCAAAGAAGGGTCCTCCCAGTGGCCCGCCCTCCGCAGCTGAATCTTGCCCCAGGGGCACCAGACACCACTCTCCTTGAAGATGAGAACCCTGGTTTCCTCCTGGCGCAGGCTGCACCCGGAAGCCAGCAGGTGACGAGCCCCCTCCCCCATTCCTCTCCTAGAAACCGCGGCACAGACACCCCGCCCTGTGCAGCGCAGACCCAGGCCTCTGTCCTCGCTGCGGACGTGTCCAGGTGCAGGCCAGGGCAGATCTGTCTGCATCTCTTCCAGGAGCCTCTGGGGAGCAAGGCTTCTCTGAGATCCAGGCGGTCAGCTTCACTCTGTCCTCCTGCCTCAGCACTGGCTGAGCCTTGGGCCGCCCTTCCTGGCCCCGGGTTCAGGAGTGAGGGCAGAACACAGCCTTCTGCAGCCTCCCCGCTGAGCCTCCCCTTCCCCGCGCAGGCCCAGGCAGAGCTTGGTGACCTGGCCGTTGGCRAGTCTCTGCGGGACGCCTCTCGGAGCCTCACAGTGGGGTTCACCATCCTCTGACTCCCTCTTTCTTCACTTACAGCCACTTTCCAAACCACATTTTCAGAATCTGTTACAAGACGCATAAAATTCCCAACTGGTCAGAATCCCACATGGGGAACCTGCCTTCTTGTTATGACAGCTGGGCGGGCCCGCGTGCCAGGCCTTGGCACACGGCACCCGGGTCCTCTCCCAGGCTGCGTGGGCTCCGGTGGCACCAGGGTCCTGGCCAGGGGAGGGGAAGAGAGCTCCGGGTGTGAGCCCTTCCTCGTTTCATTTCTCAGGAGTTGATTTCAGACGTGGTTTCCACTCTGATCTACAGTGTGAGTCCACGGGAGGCTTTTTGACCCAGGGGACAGTCCATGCTTACAGCTCCTGTGTCGGTTTACTCAGCTTAGGAAGCCTCTGGGACCCGGCCCCCACGCCGCCCCTGGAGTGGAGCGTGTGGGTTTGGGGGAGTGATGCTGGGCGAGATGCCACGGCTGTCCTAGCGGGGCCAGGAAAGCTCCGTGTGGAAGCTCCACGCCAGGGGGCAGCGCCAGGCCGCGGCCACTCCTCTCCGTGGTCACCAGGCTGGTCCAGCAGCAGCAGGAAGGCAGGCGGTCCCGTGATGCCGGGAGGCCGCAGCTGGCAGGGAGGGTCTTGTGGACGCACGGGGCGCTTCCCGGAGGCCACACACTGCGGCTCTCGCCTCGGCCTGCCTTCCTGAGAGACACCTCCATCTTCCCAGGGACCTGGGGCTCTCTCAAGGGCAAGACCCAGGGCGACCACCTCTGACTTGCCAAGCAAGAGGAAGCCGAGCGAAGGGCCTCCCCTGTGACCGCTGCCCTGGCTGGTGCCTCCCCACGTCCACCTGCTCTGCTGGGACTGGGCTGTGCTCCCCTGAGCTCTGCCTCCCAAGCCAGACCGGAAGCTGCTGGACGGCAGTGGCCGCGTCTGCCCTCTCACCCTTTGCTAGGCAAACACGGGCAGCTGGCGCTCCACCCGCTTTGCTGGGTCTGTGGGTGGAACGCAGGGGAAATAAGGCGGAATCCCGCACACATCCCGGGTGCTCGGGCCCCTGATTTTGTAATGACACGTGTGGCTTGCTTTTGGAGGGACCTCACCCAGTTCCTGCAGGGCAACAGTGGAGCTACACAAAGTGGCTCCATCTCTGAGGTGGAGCCATTAGGAACCAGTGACAGTGCTTCCAGGGAGAAGATGTCCCCTGGGCTTAGAATCCTCAGCCAAGGAGTCCCAGGAGCCTCAGAGCCCTTTGTGTCCCGCCTGGAGACGCCGCGCACGGGGCCTGGTCCCATGACTGCAGAGGACAGCAGGGTCTGCCCAGAGGTGCAGCCTGCTGTATGTAGCTTGAGCCTGGGGCTCCAGAAACTAATGGCTGCTCTTGAACTTGTCTTGCAGCAAATGCTCACGGATCCCGAGGTGCCGTCCCAGGAAGGCTGCATCCGAAAGGTAGGAGAGCTCATCCCGTCCTCTCCCCGTCACGTGCTCCCGTCCCTGGGTAGAGGACTGTGCGATTTGATGGTCCGCGGGACACCATGTGGGTTCTCCGTGGCTGCCCTGCTGGTGTCCAGGAGCAACGCGCCATCGGGGGCCACGTGTGCTCAGTGCGGTGCCTGGGGTCCTCGGGGCAGAGGCTCGTTTTCCTTGTGGAAGACAGGAGAAGCTGTGGGCGCGCCTGGGGCCAGGCAGATGGGTGCAAACCAGACAAAGGCAGGTTGGGTTGACTTAGCCATCGTCACTGGATACTCACATGAAGAGAATCTGGGGGAGGCCACTGGCGGCAGACCCAGCAAACCTGTTGTTACTCCAGTGTCACTTCAGATCAGCAAAGGTGTCAGCTTGGGCACTGTCCGGTCCTCRCTGACAGGGGCTGGATACGAAATGACAGGCACCAGCTCTGAAAGATCCAGAAAGGCAGCAGGGGCAGGCGAGGCACACCTGGGCCTCGTGTGAGCTGCATCGGGACAGCCAGGGGCAGGAGCTGACCTCTGACCTGGAACCACTCGCCAGGTAGAGTTCAGCATCCACCCAGGATGAGCCTGAGTCCACAGGCCTGCAGACCCACCAGGACACGTGTGTGTGCACTCAGCCTGCAGCTGACCTCGTGTCTGGGATTTCAGTGGTGTCCACCCCCTGGGCATCTTGGCTCTGAAACAAGAGGAAGTGCAGAGCCCCCGACTCTCGTGCTGCACCAGGCTCTGCTAGGCCTCTCTGCGCGGGCCCTGGGGAGGCCGAGCCAGCACTGACCACCAGCTCCCAATGGGTGCGGCTGGCTGGCTATTAAAATCACCAGCAGGCCCTGCTGACCTTGTGGGATGACTGGGCTGAGCGTCTGGGCACAGGGGAAGGCAAGGTGGTGCCAGGTCGGCCRGCGGGCTGAGCCACGGCAGGGGCCAGTCCCCCTGGGCACTGAGTCCAGAGGACACATGGTGTGGCAGGTGTTTTCTGGCCCTGAGGTGGCTCCTGGCCGAACCTCTCACCTTCCTCATCCCCATCTCTGTGGGCTGTTCAGCCCCGGAGAGACCCTTCTGGGGGACAAGGTGTCTTTCTCAGTCCCCGCTGCCTGCCCGAGGCCCGGGGCCTCCCTTCCTTCAGATGTTTGCTCTATGGCTCAAATTGTGGCGATGTCTGTCCCTCTCTCCCTCTCCTTCCCTGCCTCTGAGTGAACTTGTATTTCCCAGAGGACAGAGGGCAGCACAGGACAGGAAGCAGCTTTCCTCCCTTCCTGCCCTGAAGCGGGCTGCCGTCGACTCTGACCTCGTGCCGTCTAGAGCGGCCCGAGACCTTGGTTTCCGCCACCACTGCACAGGGCACCACGCCAGGTGCGTGAGCCCCCTGATGGGCGGTGGAGGCAGCCCGGCAGAAGCTCAAGGTCGAACTGGGTGCTGGGATGGGTAGAGGGGCTACCCAGCCCCCGAGGAAGAGAATCCAGGTGGGAGGTCAAAAGGTCAAGTATAAATTGAAAAGGCCACGGGAAGAGGCCAGCGCTGCCCACTTTTGAACCAGACCAAAACAAGACAGGATAAGAACATCCGTGGTCTCCCTCCTCTGTCCACCAGCGGCACTGTCTGTGATCTGCCTCGTGTTGTCTAAAGGGTGGGACCACGAAMGAGGTCTTGTCTGCTGAGGCCCAAGTTTGTTGTGTGCCTGTGGTGCAAGGTGCTGAGTGGCCAGGGACCCACTGGTACCTGCCCCGTGTGCTGGAGCAACCCACCAAACGCAGGTCCCTGTGAAGCTGAGTGCAGCTCTGCCAGGCTGAGGGGCTGCTCGGACCCCCAGCAGATCCCACCCCAGGGCAGCTGAGCACCAGGGAGGCCACCGGTGGGCACCAGAGCCCAGGGTCTGTGGGCAGCTGGCTCTGTCCTGGCTCCCAGCCCAGCCCTYTCCCTCCCACTGAGCTGCAAGGGGAGGGTGGGGGCTGCTGAGGGGCATCCTCACCCATGTCCGCCACCACCTCCCACCAGACTGAGAAGCTGCCACTCAGGGACCCCCGCCSGTGGGATCCCATGATTTCCAGCCTCGGAACTTGGCCATCAGTAGCATTCAGGGGCCCTGGTGCTTGCCTGCGGCCACTCTGGTGGGATGATCAAAAACCCAAGCCAGGTKCTGAGGTCTGGGAGGGCAGAGGGGACTAGACTGAGAGACGAGCAATGGGGGTCACAGGTCAAGGCCAGGAAGACAAGGAAACAGGGCCCATCTGCGTCTCTTCCAAGCTGAAGCCTTGGGAAGAGACAGGTTACGTACAGCTATGGTAAGTGGAACATAGATACAATTTGTTTGTTGCTAATGTAACCCCACGTGCCCTAGTGTGCCATGGTCAGGGTGAATTCAGTGAATTCTGTAGTTGGGGTCACCCAGAGACGKTCACACTTGCACTAAAAATATAACAGAGAAGCAAGGGGCTGGGAGGCTGTGTGACCTTGGGCTGCTCAACTGACATCTCCGAGCTTCCCTTTGGCATTCCTGGGAAGGCTGACACTTCCTGTCTTCTGTGGGCTTCAGTGAGATGCAAAGGAGTTAGCTGTTTCTATGGGGGCTTGACCGGTTGGTGCAGAAGGGTGGTTTAGGGGTCAGTCGCTATTATAAGTTTTCCGCGTTGGAGAGAAGGTTGCTCCAGGGACCACAGAGCTCACAGGCCAGGGACGGCCCAGCAGCGGCCAAATTTGAACCCAGGCCTGGGGCGGGGCGGGGCGGGGCGGGGCTCCCATCCGAGCGACAGCCTGTGAGCAGCACCTGGCCTGAGCCCGCCCACAGCCACAGTCCCCTTCCTCACAGCCACCCAGTGCCCCTGCCCCACTCCCCGTTCGTCCACCCAGGCTCCCTGGGCTTGTCCTCTGCTCCTGGCGACCCCGTCCCCCTTTCCCTGTCCCCTGGCCCGCGCCCCCGTGACCGCGCAGCCCCCAACGGGCGCGGAGATGTGACACGCTCCTCTCGGCCGCCCTCCCGGTGCCTTGGCCACCCCGCGGCCCCGGGCGCTTCCTGAAAAGTCGCTCTGGCAGGTCGCTGGGCCGCGTCCCTCTCTCAGCGCGGACCCCGGGGACCGCCCCTGCGCCGGGACTCTATTTAGTCTCTGTTTACTTAGAGGGAAAGCCCGGGGCTCCTGGAGAGCAAACATCTGCGGGAGATAATCTAGCGAGTTGTCCATCCATCACCGGCCGCGCGGCTCCCTGGAGAGCGCGCGGGAGCCGTAATAAAAAGGCCGGGCGAAGAGGCTTTGGGGACGAATAAAGAGCCGCGTGAAGGGCTCGCGGAAAATGGATGGAAGACGTTATTAAGGCTCAATGGCCGTCTTATCAAAATCCAATAGGATAGACATTTGGCAAAGGGCTTAAATTTATTCTTTGACTTTCTGGAGGGCTTGAATTTATCCGTTAACAAGAGTGTAGTCCACCCGGGGTGATGGTATCAGCCGAAAGAATTTTGATTCAATCTCTTTGGTGATATGAAAAGGGGAAACACAGCTCCCCGGCCTTTCCCTTTGTCCCACTTTATCTTGTTTTCTTTCACCGTCTTGAAAAGGAAGGACGGTTAATACAGTGCTACAGTGCCGCCGGAGAAAACAGAGGGAGGAAGTGCCCTCCCCCTTTTGTGTTTTTATTTTCTCTCCTCCTCCCCTTCTCTACTCCCCCCACCCAATACATCCTTCATCCCGCTGACATCATTAGGACTTGGACCAGAGACCTGAAAAGGTACCACTCTGAGGCTGCCGGAAAGGAGCAGCCCAGCCAGCCCCAGGACGCAGGGCATAAATCTCCCCGCACCCCCAGCCCCCTTGTTATTATCTACAAAATGCTACAGGTCATAAAAGTCACCCGATAGCCCAGCCTCCTGTCCCCCAAACAGGGTGATTGATGGATAATTATAATTACTGAGATGATTATTTGGGCATTAGAACCGTGGCCTCTCCCGCAGGAGGTTCTCTGGCTGCGTGCTTCCGTGTGGCCCCAGGCGAGATGCCTCTGGGAACAGGACTCCCAAAGGTTCCCGGGTCCCCGGGAGGGACTCCCTAATGAAGGTGACTCTGTGCCAGGGGTGAGAGCTCAGCGTGTCCAGGGAGGTGGGAGCAAAGACAGGAGCAACTGTCTAGAGTCCTCTGGGAAGCAGCCACCTGGAGGCCCCGACCGACCGACCACGGCCTGGGCCGTCTGCAGGGAGAATCCGCGGCCTTGCTAGGCTATTGAGCTCAGCACGGCACGGGTAGCCAGGGGTTGGGATCAGCTTGGTGGTCTGGTGTGTGTCCTCTGCTTGGTGGCCTCCTGGGGGAAGCAGAGGTATTTTCCGTGCATGTGGATGAGGGCTGGGGAGGAAGAGGAGGGCGGGCGAGGGAGGTGGCTGGGACCAGAAGGCCTGAAGCAGCGGAGCTGGAATGAGAGGCTGCCCTTCACGCCTGGGCTCCCGCTGGCATTCCCTGGCGCCCAAGGCATGCCATCACGCCCCTTGCCTGGGTGTCCTTGGTTATTCTGAGGTCTGTGCCTTTGAGGTGAGTTTCCAAAATCCTGTTCCTTCCATGTTTCGAGATGCCTCTGGAAACAGGACTCCCAAAGGTTCCTGGTTCCTTGGTTGCCCCCCTAACCAGCCGGCCTGCTGGCACTTGGAACTCAAAGCTCTGCCATCGACCTGCAGTTTTCCTACAAATGTAATTAAAAAAAAAAAATCACACCAGTCTCTAACCCTAAGAACCCTGCAATCAAAATTATTAATTTGCATGTAGGATCAGTTATGTCTTTATGAAACCAAAGTGTGTTTAGCTGCCCCGGAGACAGCCCCGAGTTGATTTTGATAATCTCAGGCTGAATAGACTTGCCTCGTCGCAGTAAGCCGGGGACAAAAGGCTGGACAGTGTCTGAAAGCCCTTTGACGACACGTCTCTCTTTCCATTGTTCGGGGGCTGCTGATAAAAGAACCGGGAGTCCATTAATTCAGTGAATGAACATATAGTAAAGTCAGTC